CCATCTCAGGGCATAGCTACTGTGGGTAAGAAAGTGAGAAGAAGGTTAACTTCTCACTTTCCCACAGTGGCCCCAATATGGCGAAAACTTCCGGGGATACCCGGAAGTCACATGAAGGGTAGGAACTGGGCCCGGAGCATGCGGTGCATGGAGCGTGCAGGGCGGAGGCACACATGCGGGTCCAGGTCCGGGTCCGGACGCGGGTCCGGGTCCGGGCTAGTCAGGGTGTGTGCCCTGACATCAACCTTCAATCCTCATCATGCCATCGCTTCTCCTTGTCATTCCCACCACTTCAACCGGCTCCAGTGCCAAACTACCCAGGACTCAGTATCACGCTACTTACTGTGCGCGCAACTTTGCATCACACTGCCACCCACTAGAGAACCCTAGGTCGAATGGGGGTTGGGCACAGCAGTACGCCCAATTTCCACTCCCATAACTAACCCATACCCACGGCTACTGACTTCGCTCACATCGCCATAGCACTCCATATGATGCGCAATCGACTTCATGCTGGAACTCAGATTCAGTCAAATGCGGGTGTTTAACTGGCGTCCTTTGCGTGCTGGTGTCTCTCTACTGGTTGGTGCTCAGCATCATCATGCACTGGGCTCGGTTCGGCTCGTCTCTGGCTGGGGTGTCGTGCTGCTTGTTCTTTTACTATATGTTTTTATGTACCCCTTTACGACGTTCATCATGATGATAACCTTGCAACTGATCGCGAGTTCCATGGTTGCTTCTGTTCTCGCCCTGCTATGTTGTCTTCAGCACTGAATCGATATGGACGGCTTCATCATTTGAAGTTCCACTGCGTTTCTCAGAGTTTTACCCAAGTCGGACGCACCATTGGTCCTTGATACCGCGATGTACAAGCCCCTTCCCTAGCCAGATGACCTTCATTTGAGTTCTTACAGATCCAATCCACCTTTCATTTCGTCCCTGAGCTGGAGGCGCCAGACAGCGACATCGTGATTTACATTGAAGTCCCCCAAGCACAAAATGCGATGCCACAACCGTACCTGATCTCATAGCACCAGAGGAGCTAAGGTCTCCCGGCCTTAGCATCGAGTTTGCCATCTGACATCAATCCCGAGCCTTGCACAATGCCTACCATGGCAGCACAGACCCAGACGCCGCATGTGACATATGACAGGAACAGGGGGCATGACCTCCAGGGCCTAGCAACCCTCAGCATTGCCAGTTCAAGTCCAGACAGCCAAGGCCTCCCGGCCCTAGCTTCGGATGACAATTCCCAGTCCACACACGAGTCGCACGACGCCCCAGCCAGAGACGGGCCAAGTCTATTAGGCGATGTTGGAAATCATTGTAGTTAACAATGATCTATTTACTTTATTAGTTTGTCTGATGCGGTGTTGATGGGATCACTGCTGATACCTTTTTTTCCGCCTACCCTTCTATTCTATGCATTAACCCTTGCCGACGACCATGTGTCGTGACTGCAAGCAATATTAGTACTCGTTGTATAGCGCAGGGCACTAGGCTTTCTTTTCCCTCAGTTCTCAAGTTAGAGACTGAGGTGATATCCCTTTCTTCGTTACTTTAACTGTCGTATAACTGACTGTACTCCCTGTGTTATAGTCCGTGCATACAGGTAAAGAGTTACAATGTTATTAGTTCTCAAGTTAGAGACTGAGTCCGTGCGTTTCAGGCGATAGTGCTGAGCACAAGGCCTCCCGGCCTTAGCGACGGATCTATTCATTTTCGGGCTCGAAGTCAATCGCATGTTGAAGTTCTATGCTGATGTAAGCAAAGTCAGTAGCTGTGGCAATCCTCTCATTCAACCATTGGTTCTCCATGGTGGCAGCACGATCCCAAGTTCTGGTGTAGTTGGTGCTGGAGTCAGATGATGAGGGATGGGAAGGATGAGGAGAAGTGATGAGGGTTGATGGTTGTGTGAGTGCCGATGGGCAGAGCTCTCAAAACGGTGCTAAGAAAAAGAAAGCAAAGATTGATCTTCTTCTTGCTGAAGAACATACTGCAATTGTGGATAGCAATCGTGCATGAATGACTGAATGGGTTTGGAGTATCATCACACATCTGTGTTCGGCACTGGTTTTCGACGTACTCACCCCACCTTCCCCCATGTTCAATCTATCCAGGTGATAAACGTGTCCTCTTTGCTATGGTTAAGGTCAAATCGAAGTCGTTCTACACAATGGAACCCCTGACCGACAAGTTATCATACTCAGATTCTAACTTCCTCTCCATAACACATTTAGCCTCCGTCGGAGCACAAGTTCAGTTTACAACCACAGCGACGGCATTTGGCATGCCTGAAAGACGGTATTCTGGATTGTGGTGAATGCGAACGGTTTCTATATGCTTTCAACATATTGAGGAAACAATATGTAGAACAACTGAATGCATCTAACTTTTCTTTATATATATTTATACCAACCTCTCATACTTGTTTATAATAATTATGCTGGGTCCAGCCAGATGGCTCCTTAACCTTAACCCTGAATGGGGTCGGTTCCGACATGGTCCTCCCATTTCGCGCATGTCCGGAATTGGATTGATGTCCCCAACTGTCACCAGGTTAGACACACTTCCACAATGATTGCGACGGCACACACACACTGGAACCGTACAGAGTCTTACCAGTGCATTGAAGTGCATTCTCGCTCTCTCATTTAGCCACGCACCCAGCGATCCAACAGACCCCCCCCAGTCTTCGGTTGTCCACTTTGGCCGCTTGAAGTGACCTTGCGTCAGAACAACTATTAGCGATTTGCGCTAGCGTGTTACACTCAGTCAATCGTAGTTGAACTAATAGATTGAAACTAATTACCTGGCGTGTTATGCTAGGGCACATGAGAGTACACAAGTGATGAAACAAACATGTAGTAAAAGTTGAACTGAGGGAGATGAAAGGGAAAAATTGTTCACTGCTTTATAAGCAATGGCGCTGTTGTGGGGACAAGTCCGTGCAAGTCAAACCAACCCTTATCACACATTTCACCCCCTACTGCATCAGGGACTAGGATTGGTGAGTCGTGGTAATAGTAGGAGTTGTAGAGACTGTGGAGATGGTTCTGACGAGTCTAAGATCGTCGGGTTTGATGGAGTGGTTGAGGAGATATGACTTTTTCTTTATTTTCCTTACTATTTTCATTCATTCACATGTGACTTTCCTTTTATATTTGTATCGGACTCTTCCGTGACAACTGTACAGACAGTTAGTTAGAGGTTAGACAGAGTATCAGCACCGAACTCGCAGGACCCACATCTACCTGAGAGATAGAGAGATACCTACCCCCCCCTAGACCTGAGCCATGAGTCCAGATCGATAGACCCGTTACAGTGCACTGACTTTGGTAGCAGGGATACCAAGGAAGGAAATACAGTGCCGAAAGCTCAACATCACATTGTGAGTTGGCCACCATGCACTATAACTCCCAAGAAAAACCAAGAGTTTCAACAACAACAACTCGGACAGCTGCAAGGCTGCTGGTACATGGGTTTTCTTTTATCATCCAGGTTCCCACTTCATCCTTAACTCATCGGACGATGCAGACATACCAGCTGTATCATTCCATCCAATGCACCGACCTACTTATTACAATGCAATCTGATTGCTTGTGTCATGAATTACATCGCAACATCATCCACACTATCGAATACCCCACAATGCAACCTATTGTAAACTTTGATATCACTGGATTCACAGTAGTAACTAAATCCTTCAGCCCTCCTGCATGTCCCATTACCTTGCACATGTATCCTTACACACTTCTTTCTCACCCACTAAACATCAACGCTGTCAGCATTAGGATTTCAACTCTTGGCTCTTATGTAAAATTTTCTCTCCACATCACACCACCTGTCAAAATGACAACATTATTGTACACATCTCCTCCCTGAAATTTTAACACATCATCGCCTGTGCACTGTGTACTTCTGCCATGGGTTCAAACCCCCACAAGCAAGGTTGTGGCTGCGTAAGCGGCCCTTCTAGTGGTCAAGGAGATGGACAAAGGAGACTCATGTAAGATTGGAACTGTCCCCCGACTTTTTTCAATAATTATGGCTGGGTGGAACTACCCCTGCCATGCTCAGAGGATGTGAGTTAGAGAATCAAAAGCAAGCACAATGTCTGAGATGAGACTCAAACGCCAAGCATGCCGAGCTCCGTCCACAGTCACTATCTGGGCCAAGGTCATCTGTTACCCTCCAGAAGTCATCAGGACCATCAATAAAGTCATCAATGTACGGAGGTGTCAGGGCACACCCCACCTGACCCTGCACCGTGCCGCCCTACTCCGCTTCCCCACTATCACCCTTTGTCTCTTCTTTCCCCTTTTCCTTCTTTCTTTCTATTTCCGTTCTATGGTCGACTTCCCCTTCTCTATGTATTACTAACACACCTAACCCCGCTCCCCTGATCGCCATGCCCACTGCGCGCATTCCTGCTCACAGAGCGGCACACCTCCGGGATCTCCCACAGAGATACCCAGGGGAGTGCGGCTGTGTGCGGGGATGACGTGGCTCCTCCCACGTGACCCCGACCGCATGTATATAATAGCACCTGGGGTGGGAACAGAAGAAGCAGCCTTCTTCTCAACTTCCCACTTCAGACTAAGTGGTTGGGGACGCTCGCCCCACAACGGGACTGTCGCTACGCATAGCCAACACCTGTCCCATCGAGTCCCTCGCGCCGGGACCTTGCTGCTTTCGGAGCTGTCCCTGACAGGAGGATACTGTACTGGCACAACCAACAACCGGTTCCCACGGCGGGAGTTGCTGGAGGCTGCTAATCAATTCAATCCAAGGTCCTCATGTGACACGTGACCGGTTGTTGGTCATGCCAGTACAGTATTTTAGATTTTCAGCAGCAATCTGGTCACGTGAATGATTTCAACATTTCAATGACAACAAACTCAAAACCGGAAATGAAAGATCCAAGTTCTTCGAAGTCCGATTGCACATCCACATCGCATAGCAGGTCTGTCCCTTCAAAACTAAATATACATATGCATATGTGGATTTACTACCTCGGAAGCCAGAGCCAACTTCCATGGGAAGCTGATGAGGTCGCACTGGCTACAAATACGGCATCTTCCGCTCCCCTAGATCAGAGTATCAAGCAGAAATCAGTGGTACACTACCCAATCTTGGACATATTGCTGGCCAAGAATGACCCAAAAGAGGCTGATCGGGCAGGGATGGTGAGTACCATCAGCATGTGTGCATCACCTTTGTTGATAATTTCGCTTTAAGCCTCCAGACTCAGTGCACTTATCCCAATGGAAAGAGCTCCGATGCAAGGTGTTGCCTGGGCAGAATCCCACTGATTTGTGAGCGTTCTCTAGCTCATAAGGCGATAGTTTACTAACTTTCAAACAGAGTGCTGGTTTATGCACCAACTGGGTTGGGTGGCATAGAAATCACGGCAAGGGATTATAACCGTCTCGAACCAGGCGAGTTTTTCAATGATACCCTGGTTGAATTCAGAACAATGTAAGCATCTCCGAGTCCTTTTTCATGTTATACTCTCAAACTTTTATGTCAGGCATGCATTCCACAAGATGCAAGAAACCAATCCAACGCTTGCAGAGCAAGTCCACTTGTTCAGCTCATTTTTCTTAGCAAATTAAGATCACCACTGTAAGTTACATCTACTCCGGGTTGTTTCATTGTTCTCACCTTGTATGCCATCATGCAGACCTTTGGAAGGTTACCAAAGTGTGCATAAATGGACTTCGAAATTCAACCTCTTTGACAAGAGGTATATCATAATTCCCGTCAATGAAGAGTGTGTCCCCACTACTCTCAAGACCTCTCAACATGCTTACTTTACTACAGTTTCCACTGGTATCTTTGCATCATCTATAATCCAAAGGGTGCACTACCCCCGCAAATGCCACCTCCAAGGCCTGCATCCATGATTACGAAGCTGGTCATGGGTCAGAACCAAACAAAAACGATAGAGGTTGTAGATTTGGACACTGATGGCGAGATGGACATTGAGACAGCAACCGTGACCAACTCCCCAAATGCGTGAGTGCTCTCTCCCTTTTGTGATGCTCCAGTTGGTAAACAATTTTCAGGTGCACATTATTCATTCTGGACTCCTTTAGTAGAGTCTCTACCAATGCGCTGAGGAAAGTCCTTGTGACTTACCTCTTGAATGAGGCAATAGATAAGAAACTTGTTGGGAGTGAATGGGATGATCATGAGCTGGAAAAATGGTTCCAGGATCATGTTGTGCCGGAGGTAGCTGAGGTGTGTCTGGGGAGTTTAGCGCTACGAGGTGTACTTCTAATTCCGACCTCTAGGTACCACGACAACAAAACTTTTGTGATTGTGGTGTGTATCTTGTGCACTTTGTGGAGATATTCTTGAGCAATCCCGAGAAGGGGATAGGATATATGTGTCAGGGCACACACCCTGACTAGCCCGGACCCGGACCCGCATCCAGACCCGCTTCCACCCGCCACGCTTCCCACACGCACACACGCTCCGTGCGCCGCATGCTCCGGACCCGGTTCCTACCCCTTCATGTGACTTCCAGGTATCCCTGGAAGTTTTGCTGATATTGTGGCCACTGTGGGAAGATGAGAAGTTAGCTTCCTTCTCATCTCCTTACCCACAGTAGGCAAGTGTACCTTACCTACTGCTTTATCTATTCATCTCCTTACCCACAGTAGAGTTGTGCCCTGGACAGGGCTGGTTACACTACAGGCTGTGGACCATAGGGGAGGGTCATGGGGACCCGGGAGTCGTCCCCTGACAATATGGTATGTCTATTGGTTTTTGGAGAGCACTCACTTTGATCATTCCTTGGCGCAGATGGAAAGGGGCCAGTCAAACAGTGCTGATGAATCAATCTGGAATAAGTCTGGACTGAAAATGCAGTGCATCACCATGAAGGAAGAAATTGATAGACTAGCTGTGGAATGGAAGGTAGCACGCTGAGTCGTACACCCACTTCATGATAGCCATCACCATATATTACCGGCACAGCAGTGTCACCCTCCACGAGACGTGCCAGGGACATGGAAGTAAATGTTCCAGTCAATGCGTCGATAGGTTGGCCCAGCGTTCAGCAACGATAGGTTCACCCATGATCCCTGTGTTATAATCATGGCATTGCAGCCCGACACACTGAGTAAAATATCATAAATAAATACAGTACAGGATATGAGAAGAACTTGCCTGAGTACGATATCATAGATATCGCACTCAGCTCTACACACCACACTTATATGTTTCTGTGTGGTGCGAAGGAACAAAGGCTAATCTGTTAGAACAAGGAGACTTCGCATAAAATCGGCAACACAAGGGCATCGGAATGCCACTTCAACACCCTGTCGATGTCATCAATACCCTGACCCGTCAACTCCCTGAGGCCCTACTCATTGTTCATTTCGACACTGAACTTCAAGGCTCTAGTCAAACGTTGAATTTCAATATGTCATCATGTGATTCCTGAATGAGGAATATCCTATGCAGGATGGGCCAGCTGCATTACATGAAGGAGCTGCAGAAGGAAGCCAGGTGTTAGGGTTAAGCCGTAACCCCGAACGGACTTAACGGAGGTCTCACATGTCACATGTCCCGCTTATCTCAGTTCCATTTCAGATCATGTAGTTTGAGACTTCCTGTATGACTAGGATGTTTCTCTTGTCTCACCTCACATGTTTTAGCATGTCTTCATGTATATAAGGTGTTGACTAGTGAAGACTGTTGATGAGCGACAATTGATCTCGGAGCTGGACCATAAGTAAGCGGGAAGCTCAGTCTCAGCTAATATGCGTGAAGAACTGAGGGAAAATTCAAATGAATGAATATATCCGTGGCCTGGCACGGGTTAGTCCGAAATAATATAAAAGAGGTCTTGTGACTAAGTAGTCACATGGTGGATTCTGGGCGAGTTGCTCTGCCAGAATGTTCCCATGATAACGCAGGAATGTGGCTATTCAGGTTAGCTCCATTGGAGTACCCATGGTTCCTCCAACAAAGATGGACTCTTCAACTGGTCAACACAGGTCGCTGAACCTCAATTGATTTCTTGTGATCTTGTGATCTTCTGGCTCGTGATCTTGTTTCCCGTGGTCTCACGACTCTCGCTTCGCTCCATTCCGTTCCCACGCTCATTAGCGCTGAGAGGTTCGTGACCCAGGTCATTGATGGATTGCAACCTGAGCCCCTGTGAAGTCTATCTCCAATGTGAGCGCAAGTTAGAACAGGCCAAGCGATTTATAGACTTGGCGGTCTACTTCCATCAAAGGTGGATCAGGTTACCAGCCTCTATTAGAATCTTATGCTATATAGGTTCGACACGGTGTTAAATGTCACGTGGTACGCTAAGGTCATATGCGGAGTCAAATCCCCAGACCCATTCAGCTTCGCAAATCTCCCAATTGTTTGCATCCACATTCTCAGGAATCAGGGTGTGTAGCTACGCTGAGGGAGCATGGCAACGAAAGCAAAATGACCTTCACACACTACATACAGTGGTTGGGAGAGTAGAAGAGGACAATGATGCGAAAAAATTCTCTACCATTTATGGTTTACTGCTGTCAGGGATTAGGGCTGGCCCATAGCGCACTGTGCGCACCATTCCTGGTAAATATGGTCAGAATGAGAGGAGGAAGAGGTATAAATGAGCGATGCAAAGAGGACAGAATGGCCTTGGAACATTGAAGTGATACAACACCTGGCATAAGAATTTATTGTGTGTGATGTCGGTGAGAAAGAGGGAAACACCATCTCTAACGTTCGGTGCTTGGCAATGGGCAATGGTGGAAAGCAGAGATTAGGGGAAAAAAAAAAAAACAGAGAGTGCACTGGTGACTTTCATTCAAGAACATATATGACGCCAAACCTCTCGGTTCTGGTTCTTACAATTTCCAGTTTCAGTTTTGCTTACATTCATGATCTAAAACCTGGAGGATATCGTTCTGGAGAGGGAGCACAGCGCAACGTGAAGTTGAAAAGTTTTTTTGGGTAAATCTAAGTGGGCGCTGTGGAATCATATGATGATGACTGATGTAATCAATAGCGGGCGCTTACACAGCATCAATTTTCCGGATTGATTGCTCACTGAAGGATGTCCACCAAAGCTAACTTTAGAATGCGAGCGGACTTGTGAGACTTCTCATTTATTTCCTATTCCTATGTTAAAATGTTTTTAAGTATGACTGTGGATCAATGCCTGGAGGGTGTAACTGATCCATTTATTCGATCATCTGTCCATCATGCACAGCAGAAGATGGACAGCATCATAGAGGAGGCATTGAAGAACACAGGTAAGAATCACTGGTTCAGGCTGGGGATGTTGCTAATGTTTTTTTTTTCTCAGTGAAATTACCCTTTGATTACCAGTCTGTGGCAATCCACAATGACCAGGCAAAAAAGAAAAATGGGACACAAGATGACATGAAGGCCCTCCAACTTCCCCCAATCAGCCCTGGCCAGAAAATCGTCCTAAACCACCCTGGGGGAGCAGCCATTGAAGATAAAAACGGTGTTCTCCTGGCGATAAGGTTGCCAGCTGTATTTGAACAAATCCATGTTCGTTATATATTCCCTTCTGCTCTAGTTTATCAAGTTTAACCCATGGCTCCAGGATCATATCGTCCAAGCAGGTCATGACCTCAGCCACGAGTACAAGTACCCCTGGCCCAAATTCTGCACAAAGTTCAAGCACACCCCCCACGACCTGTTCAAGTCAGGTCAACTGCATTATGCCTACTGGCATGCACTAGGACTAACAGTAAGCCCGTAAATTTTATGATTTCATGATAGCTGACCTCCTCCAGCACTTGCACCCTGTCATAAGCTTTGATGCCCAGAGGCAGGTTGAGACCCACAAGAAATTCCAGAAACGCTGCGATGCATTCTATCATATACTAAACATGTACACGGAGCGGCTCGCTCCCAACTTCGCACGACGCAGCCGTGAAGTTTGGAACAAGATCCGGAGAAAGCATGACCGAAGAAAGGGGTACCTTAGTGAGGTCAAGTCCCATTTCTTCAGACAAGCCATTTGGTTCAACGCAGACACTGAATTCCACCATGATTCAGCATCATGCTGGTGTGGATTCGATGCCGTGGCAGGATTTGGAAGATATGAGGGTGGTCTGTGGGAATTCCCTGACCTGGGATATGCACTACCTTCTAACCCTGGTGACCTCCTTTTCCTTCGAGGTGCAGGAATTATGCATGATGCAACCTCATGGGAAGGGCAAGGGAGGATGGTCTTTGCCTTGTTTTCCGACCGGCGTGTTTTTACACATGAACGCATCCCTAGACCTAGGGACATAGGAAGGCCCTACCAGAAGCATCAGTATAGGAAGTTCAGGCAAATGCATCCCCGCTCACAGCCTGAACCCTCCTTACAAACATCCAAAAAAAGGAAGTGTACAGACAGCAACGAAGCCTCAAGGAAGAGAAGGGTGGTGTCGTCATGATGTACTTACCTACATCATTATTTAATTTTTTGGTTTGATTCCTGAGAGATTGAAGCTGAATTGAAGCTGAACAAATAGTACATGACTGCCCTCCATGCCATTGGCGGATCCACGAGTGGTCTGCACAGGGCAAGTATACACCAGCACTGTTTGATGGAACTGTCTGGCATCCACTGTGGGGCACATGTTGTTGGAAGTTCACTTACTGAGTCTTACGTTGACCTATGCATGCAAACTCAGTCTCGATATGGAGAACTGAGGGAGAGAAAAATTATGGCATCCAGCATATTTTATATGACTGGCGCGATAACATGATTCACAACCTTTTTATCAGCCAGGCAACCTTCTTACCTACTGTTTTATGATTTGTTGACGAATGCGAACTGCTCGCTTATTTTTACATGCGAAACCATGCTGTCGTTTCCATTTGAGTTTTAATTCTACTGCGCATATCGACGATTTACATCACTGAACACAAGAAGTAAAAGGATCCAAGCATCTGGAGTCCCAGAGTCAAATACAAGAAGATTGTTGCCACTTGAGACTGGAGTCAAGATAAAAAACTGCTGATTCAAGAAAGAAAGAAGTCCGCATGGTGTTGAATGCCATGTGACCTCAGAACTTTCCCACGGGATCTTGTCGCGCTCAATCCATCTGCTCACCCAACCATCCAACCATCCAACCATCAACCCCCACCTCACCCCACCATCATCAACTGGCTCTATACCAAGGCTTTTGCTGTGCACGCAACTTGGTACTGGAGAACCATCAGTCAAATGGGAGGATTCGCCTTGTTTCCACTCCCATCACTTACCCACGTCTACAGTCACTGACTTCGCTCACATCGGCATAGGACTTCGCAGATCCGTGATCGGCTTTGCGTTCGAAAATGAATGGATTCTCGTCGCTAAGGTCTCCCGGCCTTAGCTCTTCTAGCTTGTGCTCAGCGCTGTCATGTACTGGACTTGTCTCTGGGGCGTCGTGCGAGTGCACAGGCTCTGGATTGTCATCAAAAGCGGGAACTCCAAGCTGGCCGGGAGGCTTTAGCTCTTTGGGCTTGAACCGGCGACGCTGGGAGTTATTAGGTAGGCCCTGGAGGTCATGCCTCCTGTGCCTGCACTCTCACGTCGCATACAACGGCTCGGGTTGATGCTTCCATGGTAAGCATCGCCCACGGGCTCGGGATCGATGTCAGATGGCAGATGCTAAGGCCTCCCGGCCTTAGCCTTTTTGGCTTGAGCTCGGTACAATCTAGCGCTGTAGGACCGGGTGCAGTTGCAGCATCGTGCTCTGTGCTGTGGGGACTTCATCAAGTCCGACGTCGCCATCTGGTGTCTCCAGTATGAACACTCGGGGAAATCGAAATGAAAGTGAGAGGAATGTGGTTTAAACGGTCATCTGGCTCGGGAAGGGGCTTGTGTATCATGGTAACGACGTGTCCGACTTGGGAAAAACTCTGAGAAATGTGGTGGAACTTCAAATGACAAAGCCATCCTGTGTGTGCCCCATCGTGGAGTCCGCCAGGAGAATTGGTGCTGTCTTGAGTGGCAACAGTCATGGCAACGTGTTGACTTGCACAACTCCCAAACGCGAGCTGCTTCTCCTGTCCCCTATCTCAGGATCCGCCCAGGAGAGCAACAATTACATGCCCAGTTGGGGTTTATGAGGCGGAATCAGCAATATGACGGTTTTCTTGTGACTTCAAATGCTTGCAGCTTTAGTTCGACTTTGTCCTCTTGTAACTCTTGTACTCGCCATGTAAATGGTCAGTACATGATGTAGAATTATGCTCAGACAGAAATGATGGCGTAGTTTCGCATGTAAGCAATAAGCGCTCAAGTTGCACTCATCGAAAATCATAAGAACACATGTAAGAACAATTAATGGTTGGCTTAAACTAGAACAAGGGCGGGTCTATGTGCACAAAGGGTGAGCATGCTCTCCATGTCGCCAGGGAGGCTTGAGCTCTTTAGTCTTGAGCCGAGAGCTGCGTCTTGGTTTGCATTCACTTGCGTGTTGGAGCTGGACTGTCTGTAAAGAGGTCTGCGAGAATGTCCTGGATAGGTGCCGTCGCACATCTCAAGCAGAATGGACCATGGACTCTAAGTCCACAGCAGCTTGGGAAAAGATGCCCTCTGGCATTGCGAGTGTGCGGGTGTCACCAGGGAACTTGGTGACCTGGGTGTGCTGGGGTTTGTCACAGGCTCATGCACAAGTGGGGCCGACTGGCTGCCCAGACCGTGCTGCGTGTCTAAGGTTTTATCTGGATCTTGCTCAGGTGGAGGGATATAGCCTTCATCCATCTCAAGCTCAATATGCAGTGGCTTGGCATTAACCAACTCGGCTGGTCCGGAGTAACATGGAACGCTCCGTGAAACAGGACTTTGGCTATTGCTAAGCCTCACCCGGTTGAACCTGCACATCTTGGGTGTAAGAATCAGTGCATGCGGGGGCAACTCCCCATAATCTTGATCAAGTGACATGTGCACTACTCTGGTTGCCTTGGCTGGGATTATACGTTCAACCTGCAGCAATGGCTGGGGGATAAACACCTTGTAGCGTGGCCTCACGCTGGGGGACTTAGACTCGACCTTGCTTTGGCATAAGAAATCTGTTGCCATTGCCTGCTCTGAGGCACGTTCTCCAGGCGCATATGTAGGCAGTAGTATTTGCTCAATGGTGGCACAGTTGCATCCTTGAACATATGCGATGTTTCTGACTCAAAATTCTACCTGAACAAATCTGCCTTGTGCTCAGCGCTTTCATGGCAAGGTTTGCTTTACTTGGCCAGGTGAAACTCATCATAGGATCCGATCGCCTCCATTGACTGAGGCCCTTTGACTTCATCTGGGCAAACGAGATCAGTTGATTCGAGGCCACAGGCCTTAGCTCCCGATCATTGAGCCCCGGTTCAGAAATGGACACAGAAATGGGCTTGGCTTCACAAAACCTCTCCTTGTCATCATGAAGATATGAATGAGTCTAAGTCAAAGACGTCATAAACCGTTCCACTAAAACTTTCATTGTTGGGATGCAAATCCAGGCCGGAGGTGTCATAGGCTGTTTCACAAGAGGTATCATCATTAGAGCGCGAGTCTAAGTTGGGGACATCATAGACTATTTCGTGGCTGATTGGCTTAGCCTCGGTTGGCGCATCATCCATACACAACTCCAAATGAAAAACTTCATGGACAGGTTTGCCAATGTCTGAGTCGTAGTCATTTGGTGCAAATTCATACTGTAGACTATCAGAGCTAAGTCTCTTACTCAATGGAACACTCTGAAATTTGCCCAGGAGGCAAATTCTTGACCAGCTTGTTCATCATCATGCATCCACTCAAGCATTGCAGCGCTGGAGTGCATCTCAGCTTGCTTGCGAATCAAACGCCATTCACCCTCCATTGGGGGCGGAAGGTGGGAGCCATCGGCCACAATCAGTTTATTAAATGCATTGTATCCGAGTACACCAATGGTGATAAAGGTATTTGTCTCGGGGCATTCTTGAACGAAGTGGCCTATGTCATCACACATAAAACATCGGTCATTACGAGGGGAAAAACGAAGCCTATCCGTAAGCAGGCTAATTTGACTGTCAATGTGCTCATGTGCCCCACGAGACTGTCCATATTAGCTTGCTGGACTGCATCCTGGGGGCTCGGGTTAGCATCTGGATTGGTCTCTGTAATCCTGCAGTCATCTTCACTAGCTTTGGTGGCTCTGGACTTGGATCTCTTCAACACCTTCTTCCTAGGTGTCTCGACTGTTCTGCGACGTGATGAGAACACAGCCTCTGCTTCTGGGTCGGATCCCTTGTCATTGGAGTCCTCACTTTATGAGCCATCACTGCTATCTTCAGAGACACTCGCTTGCTGAGTCTGAACCATTATCGGACTCATCGGACTCATCGACAGGGTCCAAGTCGTATTGTTGGAGCTCCTTAACCATTGCTACAACATGGTCCATGGGAGGGACGTGGGCCTACTAGGCCCACAGCAAAAATAGTCATCCCTATCACCTACATTGAGCATGTTCCTCTGCTCAAGGGGTCTGGCAATAACTTGGAAATGGCGGCGGTTAGTCATCAAAACCTTCATGGTGCTTGATCTTATTGTTGGAATATCAACGCTCATCGACGACCTGAGTTGCTGCAAGGGTTAGGGAGTTGAGACTTTAACTTCCTGAGATCTTTTGTGCGATACATGCAATCTTCTTGCTCATCTGAGTAAAACTGAGCAGATCTTTCTTTAGTGCGTTCCAGTCCTTGTTCTCATAGCTATCAAGGGTTTGGATAAACCTAGCTTCCTTTTCCGTGCAATAACACATGACATAATCGCATTTCAGTTGGTTCATGAGGCACGCGGCCACTGTCTGGAACTCGGAATCGTATAAAATCTTCAATTTGGTGCCCTTGAACTTCTGGAGTGCAGGCCAGGCATCAGCTCGTAAAACGTCAACGCTTCAATGGCAGAACTTGAATCCATTGCAAAAGGTCAACAAAATAAGGGAAACTCTTGGGTGTCTGGGTCACTCAGGACCTGCTCTGGTGATACTGGGCAATTCTCTATGCTGCTTGACATCTGGCAAGGAGAGGCATCGTGAAACAAGGGTGGAATGGGTGAACAGGGTAACACATCGCAAAAACACATCGCAAAACTTGTAACCAATCAAACTAATGCGGGCTCCTGTGGGCTCTTCGCCAGGAGTGAACCACTTGAGCAATAAATACGACTGTGCCTCGTTGTGAGATCCGCCAGGGGGACAATCGCAATAAACTTGCTGATGTGAAGCACGTTGCTACAACTCGATAACAAATACGGGTTCCTGTGCCTCTTTGTGAGGTCTGGCAGGAGTGAACAACTTATGATCCCCTGCATGATTGATGGGATATACTGTGTTGACCGTTGTGCGGTTTTCGGAAGCCATCGGCCGACTATGGTGCTTATTCTTTGGACTAGTTTGCTCGATTGCAATCCATATTCGAGGAATTCATGGTCTTCTTC